TTATGGATGGGGACAGAACGCGGTAATGTAAAGCTTTAAATGGTCTCCTAAACACGCGCCAGGTTGGAGAAGGCTACTCGTATCGAATGATGCAGATGTTTTGGCACAAGAATGAATTTATTCGGCTACGGGCGGCGGGCTTCAACAGCCCGACTGATGTAGGAGGATAGAGGTCGGTCGCCTGTATTTCTACATTCCGCCGTTGACCGCTCAAAACGGCTTCTGTTTCGAGGCTGAGGATTTATTTTTCTCTTAAAACAGGAGCACCGAGAGATGGGAGATTGGTGATGAGATGCGGAGGCGGACTGGCAAGCCTTCCTCATAATGAAAATCGAAATGCATCTGATGAAAGAAAGAGAGAAAAAGAAAGAGAGAGAATGGGATGTCATAGAAAAGAAGAATACTTTGTGAGGAGAATATTTGACCTTGCGTTGTTTACTGGCTCTATTCAGTAAACTAATTTAACGTATTTCTAAATTCCCGCGAATATCAGATTCTTTCTCAACGTAATAAAGTGAGGTCAAATAATAAAACAAAGTCAGAGATAAAGAGGGAGAAAATACAAGATGAGATTTTTAAACCAGGTAAAGTACTGGTCTTCTGTCAAGAAAATGCAAATCACTACACACTTATTTGGAAGGAATAAGACCAGCGTCTTAAATCGCATCAATTATGGCTAGTCTCTAGATGTAGGGAGTACTTTTATTATGACCCAATATCTACATGTATTTTCATAAAGATGATTATCAATGAAACCAACATTGAGATGTCCACTTATATTTGTATTTATACTGTTTTTATTTGGCTTGAAGTACAAACAAAAATAACTCAAATTAATATCTACATGTATTTTAATAAAGATGATTATTAATGAAACCAACATTGAAGATGTCCACTTACATTTGTTTTTTCTGTTTTTATTTGGCTTGAAGTACAAAAAAAAGTTACACAAAATATCGAGGTTTGAATGATTGATTTTTTTTAACAGTTTTTAAATCTCAGAAAGGATATTGGAATGAAGGGTTCTCTGGTCTGTGTAGGAGGGGTGAGGGAGCTAGCACGTCAAATCTGCAGCGAAAACACAATAAAATAGTTTATCGCAAATTTGTGGCGATGTTCTACTAAGAAATTGTCTGAAAAGCGAGCAAGAAGAAATATCAATAATTTTAAGTTCCTGTGGGGGGGGGGGGGGGGGGGGCTAAAACTGATTCCGGGATCATGATGTTTGGGCACCTTCTTTATATAAATTATATCTTTTCGTTATTTAATCTTTATGTGCATCTTCTTTGGCCTATTCAATGTGCATATAAGATATAATAGATAATGTTTAACGGGGCGGGAGGCGTGCCCCCTCCCCACCCCACCCCATCTCTTTATTTGCCAATTGAAAGGGCATTCGCATCGCAGTCATCCCTCTTCTCGATCGTTCCTCCCGTGTTTCACGTTTATTCAACAAGAAAACACGCAGTGGTACAACTGTTAGCTTTGCATGGTGATAGACAGATCTCAATTTGAAAGGAAAATGTTTTGCGTCAACCTTACTGTGTACTGCCGATGTGGAAGCATAGATATAAGTATGACGACCTTGAATTCAAAAGGTAGTAAGTCCATTTCTACAAAAATTGATAAATTGGCGTATCTTCCCCATGCAAATCAAAAACACTATATCGCATTTCCTTTTTCCTTCGAAAGTAGGAAATGGTAGAGCAAGGGGTCTATATGGGGTTACATTCTAAAAAGGTAGCTCACTCCAAAATTATTCTTTCCATTGCACTCACTAGAAACGATGCACATATATATATATATATATATATATACATGTATATATATATTTATGCGGTACAGTGTCCCATGGTCTCTTTGAACCAAATTAAATCTCTCCACATTTAAAAGGCAGCATCAGACTTCAGTTTCCACAAAACTGTTAATTTATTTGAATGTCTTATGGTTATACATTACAATCGGTACGCGATACTTGTAAATAATCATCATTTATGTTATCAAAAGGCGTTGAACGAACTCCGGTTATCGCAAAGCTCTGATATGTTTATCACATCTAGAAAAAGTGGGAAACTTAAAATGCTTCGATATACTCGAGATCGCTATCAGTGGATGTAACGCCTTTTGGAAATAAACTCCTCCCGTATACACACATCAGTCATGCACATTGGAAGATGGGAAAAAGATTATGATTGACGACAGGCTAATACAAACACAACCACATTCATGTTGGGCGCGGTGACATAAGAGCTCAAATCGGAGACGGGTTTGTTATTGCTACCGATGTTTAGCCAGGTTCTCCATCTCTGTAATCGACAAACAAAGGGAGTAAAGAAAGGTATATAGGAGGTAACGGTAATGGTGATGACGAAGATTGAAGATGAATAACAAAAAAGAGAAAGAAGATGGGAAGAGGAGTGAAATGAGAAATGACTGTTGGCATATTTGCAATGAGACGAGACCGAAAGGGGAAAGTAAATTGGCTATTCGGAAATTGGAAGATGGCGAAGAAATTGATTAGTTGTGTATGAGCCTGTGTACGATCGTAATGCCGGGGAACAATTATAATATCAGAAGAGTAAAAGATAAATTTATAACTTGAAATTTTTAGAAACACACTTTGGAGAAGCACCATCAATGTTTATAAACATTGTAGTTAAACGTAAAAAGTGACAAAACTGAAGTCTAAATATTATTAGAAGAAACTGCAGACTGTCAAAGCCCAGAAACACGCCTTTTTAAGCATCAATTTATCTTTGTGTAACACTCATGAAGTTTGAACGTACGAAGATAAAATATACCACATACGTTGAACTGCATTTTAATTTGTACTATTTCGTTAACATGTATTAAAGGTAGATTCTGATATGATATCAAAGTGCTCTTCATAACGGTGTATAACGTTTTTTTTAATAACGAAAAACAGAACTTGGCTCAGTATTTGGTAAAAGAGATATAAATCTAACACATTTCCTCTTAGAAGAAAAACACTTTCTAGCCTTCTGATTTTGTGAGCATCACAATTTTCTAAACCGTAGGCATGTGAATTAAGCGCCGAATATTGTTGACCGTTAGCTTCTTTTCATCTTGGATAGGTTATTAAGTAGTTAGTATAGATGTTTAAAATTTAGAAGCAAGGGCGTAATTTAAGGGTCTAACAAGACATATTAGGTTTCATTTTAAGTGCCTTTTTTCACCGCCATTCAGGAAGACTGAAAACTTCTTTCAAAGTATTAAAATCACCCTTTTTACAGCCCCACTTATGAAACGGACTATTGTGTGAACAAGCGTGTCCATTTCGCTAGACATTGTCATGAAGAATAAACAACTATCCGAAAAGAAATTCAAGAAGTTCATAGTTTGACATTTGTGAATAGATGAATAGACAAATTCGATTGGAAGTAAAAAATAATAACCTTCATTTCTGAATACAGGCGCTTTTTAAGTGAAGGAAACGCATTGTATTCATCTCTGTAACAAGATGAAAGCTAGGCATAGTTCATATTTTCTCGCTTTTCAGAGTCCACTTTCTTCCGTGTATTCATAGTGATGCGTTGCCATGGAAACGTAAGCTCTGGCTGAGTATATGAGAATTTTTTCAGGTAATTTTCTCTTTTGAGATGATTCGATACAAAGTCGATTATTATTCAGCATAAGGAATCTTTCGCTTGTATACGATGACAGTTTGTGTTGTACGCCTACGGTACGTCCATATCTACCGAAGATCGTTGTATTCTGGTTTTGTTATTTGGGGAAGAAAGAGTACTAAAAACAAGCAATGTTGTGCCTCGCGCGGTATTTTGTAAAGTAGCTTTACGATACGTGTTGTGACCACCCGACTACGGGCCACACAGTACGGGGTTCAAATCCCTGCAATAGCACTAAAATGTCCTTTAGGGCTTTGGTTACTTGACCACCGGACTCCGGCCACACAGTACGGGGTTTAAATCCCTTTAATAGCACTAAATGTCCTTTGGGGCTTTGGTTACTTGACCACCGGACTCCGGCCACACAGTACGGGGTTAAAATTCCTTCAATAGTACTACAATGTCCTTTGGGGCTTTGGTTACTTGACCACCGGACGCAAGGCCACACATTATGGGGTTCAAATTCCTATAATAGCACTGATATTCTTCGGCTCTGTGGTTACTTTAAGAACCACATCATGTACAATGTACTGTACTTATTTCTTTAAATGTTCTTTAGCTTTGCCTCCGATCACTATGCATCTTCCGAGTGGTTCCCATCAGCTCCGTAGAATTCCTTTCGAATCTACCTTTAGCACATCGGAACCAGAAGAAGTAAATATGTACCAGTATGAAGAAATTCCCTAGAAGGAATAGAGTGTAATGGACAGAGAAAGAGATTGGATAAGAGAATAAGGGGAAGAGAGACAGACAAAGAGACAGACGGACATAGAGAGAGAGAGAGGGGGGGGGGGGGGGAGAAAGCAAAAATTACTGATGTGGACTTAAAGAATATGGTCCGAAAACCGCTACAACTGAACACATGTGTGTGTTTGAATAATGTTAAAGTAAATTGAACAGGTAAAATAATGAAAGGCAGCAAAAACCGATGCGAATATTCTTATTGAGTAAACAAAATGTTGCTTTTTACTTTATGAATGCTTTGTAGACTTAATTATTTTTCTTCCAAAACTGCTTATTAATAATCAATTTCTCTTTAAAGATTTGGAACTCAATCTTATGCTTCATGTTGTTTTTCAAAATATTTAAGAATGCGTCATTGAATTGCTATTATAGTGGGGGTGAGAATTCATGAGTACTGTAACGATTTTACATCCTGTTTATTTGCAACCTCGCACATATAAGTTTTTCAAGGAAATAAATTTTAACAAAACAGTATGAGAATAACCTTGCAATACTGCATTGTTGTTTGAAGTTGGCATTAATGATTTTCTTTGTAATAACATTGCTTCTAAACAAAATTTGATTGAACAGAAATTGATTGCATTATGTCTCTTTTCCTTTACAGCCAAACAGATAGCTGTCGTGGATGCTTGCCTTGCATAATTATGACCGACTGAAGGACATGGACCCTATATTATAGCAATCCATATACCTTTCTGTGTCTCTATCGCCCAAGGTGCGACTGGCGCATGCGCACCGCCCAGAGTATCGCTAGTGGTCGATAGCAACGTTGACGTGGTCGTCTGCTTTGGAATAAAATGCGATTGTGAAAGCCCGCGTAAACTCATTCACTATCAAACTCCAGCACGAATCAGGGAGATATTTTGTGGAGTGCGTCCATGAGTGGTGTTTATACATTGATGAGCGGTATACGACGTGAAGTAGCGTTGTCTCCCTCGGCGTTAAGGGGGCCACTCGTTTGCTTGTATTGGAACGGACTTTGGTTAGGATATCGCCCTACCTGGTCGGCGGTGAACTTCATCCAGCGTTCGTGGTGATTTGATACTATTGATCCATAGTTGCGTCATTAATACGTCACGTCAGATGAAGCTCATGTTGATGGCTCCTCTCTGGTATCCTTTCTTGTCCCGCAGCAATCTCGGAAGGTTGTTTGCTTTAATCATTTACCAGCACAACTGAAGAAGCGTCCTAGTGGGGCAAAGTCTTCGAGCGGAGTCACAAGTGAAAAGCTTTTCTCGAGTACACAGTCTCTGTTTGAGCTCTCTCTGTTATATTTGGATGCTATGGTGAATATTGCTACTTCGGATCACTCGGCCAAATGAAATTTGAATTATCTGGAAATAGAACAATTTCGACATCGTGCCGATATATCGTCAAACATCGACCGGAAATTTTGATCAGACAACAATCACCCGTGACTACAGGACTCGCAAAAGCGTGAGGAAGTCTTCAAGTATATTTTCATCTGCATCCTGTTGGATTGTAATCAGCCTTATCTTAAGGCATTTTAGCGACACCTCAGAACTCATCAAGAATTGTTATATAAAACGAGGGGATTTTAAATTGCACTCATCATGACAAACAATAGCGTAGACCTTTCCACTGGGGGCATGGCGACGGACTGGGACGGGGGAAGCTTCGCGTCGACTACCCAGCAACCCTTCGATACGGTGCCCAGGAGCCAAACAGTCAACATCTATCTCCTCATCTGTATCTACGTAATCATCTTCCTCCTCGCCGTCATCGGCAATATCCTCGTCATCGTCACTCTCGTCCAGAATAAGCGCATGCGCACTGTCACGAACATATTCTTACTGAGTTTATCGGTCAGTGACCTTTTATTCGCCATTCTGTGTATGCCATTCACGCTGGTCGGCAACATTCTACAGAGGTTCATTTTTGGGGAAGGAATTTGCAAGATCATATCTTACTTTCAAGGTAAGCCACTGTAATCCTTAATTTTATAGAGCCATAAATTAGTGCTCTGCCGTATTGTATGAGAATCGTATAATTAGCTTATCCATTTGATTATTCAAAGTACCATCATTATCGTTATCAACTAATGTCATATTGGTGAGTGAAAGAAAAACTGTCGTCTACCTCCAACAACCTTCACTAAAGGATCGTTCGCGTATTTAAAACTTTTGAAAATTTCGCAAAATAATTGTTTTATAGAAATTTCTATAAAGATAGCATAGAAAATACATAAATACATAAATCAGTAATCTGATTTTATATATCATTTTTACCCAAGTGACTATGTACATTGACGTATAATCTAGAGAGATTAAGGATAAACTGAATTATATCGAAATTTTTTATCGAGTTTTAAGTTTTACTGCCATCTATTTTGTAAACATAAACAGAAATCATATTGCAAACATCCATACATGCGCCCATTTTATTCCCCGGTTTGCAAAACAGTGACAAATAAGGGGGAAATGAGAAATGAAGCAGCAACATAATTAATCTGAATATGATACGGATGATGTCATTCCTAAATGGTTGCCAAAGCATACATGCTCATCGCTATATAAAAACTGAGTATTATTATTATTATTATTATTATTATTATTATATAGTAGAGGATACATAAGTCCACCCACATTTCTGTATATTATTTATTGTAGTAGAAAATAATAGATTTAGGGCATAACATGGAAAAAAGTGTAATGTAAAAAATAAATTAAAGCATTAGATAGATTTTCACCATAAAAACCCTGTATTTGTCTCAAATATTAAAAAAGGGCGTATAAATTATCTTAGTAGGATGTTTTTTTTTAAAGGAAAAGGCTAAGAAATAACTGAAAGCTGCCCTTTTGTATCGAGATACTACATACATTTTGTAGACAAGGAATCAATATAACAAACCATTCATGCATAGATAAAATCATTAATCTATACATATAGTCTAAATTAAGGATACGAACATGTCAAAATATAATAATACGAATACATTCATATGAAGAAAACATTTTAAAAGTAAGCAGCTCTTCTCCAGGCCCTCTATGATGTCTAATTTTGCACTAACATAAATAACGTCCTCTCAAATAACTTCGATTCAAATGATTGCTATTGCCCGTCAATTAAAGCGAAGTGTAATTCGATCCTTGGTTCCACGTGCGAGGATACATAGTTAAATAGACAAGGAGGGAAGAAGCATTGAGTTGTCGGAGTGTCGTATAATATGTGGTTAGAGCGCCTGGAGACTCATATACCATCTAGAACGATTGTGTATAATGTAATCTTTATTTTATTTACTTCAAGAGCACAATAGTATCGGTCAATGCGAACATGGTGCCTCCCTCAGGCGTAAAAATATCCCAAATCATATTTTAACAATTTAACTCTGGAAAAGTAGGGGCACAATGTGACATTCGTTGAATCTATGAAATACCATTTGTGTTTATAATCGTTAAAATATTGTATACACTACATATAAATCAATACCTCCATGCAAAGTGAATGTTAAATATAAAGACTGAGTCCAATTTTTGCAGCCATTTCCCCCATCCTTTATGGTATGTTATTTGATTGAATAGAAATTGTAAATTTACCCTGTATGTGTTTTGTTATGCTGCTAAAATTATTCAATTATATCTTCTCGACCTGATGGTTGATTTATTGGTGTTGAAGTAGCCACGCTTATTATCATACACATGCTTGGTAATTCACTCGTAACAAAGAAACACAAATATGACAAGGTAGGCTTTAGATATACAGTTGAATGATATTCTAGTGAATCTAATTAAAAGGTGTATTTACTCGACCTGGTTATTGTAGAAGTAGCCACTCTTTATATCAGACACATGACTATTGGTTCTCTATTTTCGAGAGAAAAAATAAATAAATTAAATGATGGGCTGACGATATTCTAGTGACATCAAATTAAACATTTCCACAAACAGATCAGACTAAAAACTGGGACTGTACCTGACATTTACGTTGTGTAAAGGTATAGACTGAAAATGCGTTGTGTAATTACAACTAGAGCCGTTAAAAACCAATGTGATACGTTACCTTAAGACATGGAAGACGTAATTATAATTTCATTAGACTTAAGAAACATAGCACGTGTGGTGTATAGCTTAAAGCATTTTACAGCTAAGTCGATGGGATTAGTGGAAATGAGTGAGGTATGAAGGAGTGTTTACGGGAAGCTTTTTATAGACTTGCTTACTTAATCGGAGTCGAATTACCACAGAGTTACCTTCTTGCACCGAGTCTTGTTGTTGAAAAAAAATTCTTAAAGCATACATTGTTACTACAATTTACAGAGTTAGTTGATAGAATTATATTAGTCAAATCATTTGTGTGGAAATTAGTTATAGGCAACACGAACGATCCTTTCGTAAAATTTAATAATAATAATAATAGCCTAATAGTCCACTCCAAATTTTATTAAACCTAAACGGAAATTCTTTTTGCCCAATTGATCGTGAGCCCGGCAGCCACTGAGCAGCGCCATATTGACGTTGCTCTATCCCTTGTATTAACAAGTTTCTTATTTCTTCCCGGCCTCTGGTTTAGAGTATATTAAATCTGTTGAAGATTTTCAAATGTCTAGTTGCGCACCAATAATTTCAAATTGTACCCTCCCGATAATTCTGGTAAGAATGAAAGTTTGGGTTGCCACATTATAGCCCAGAAACCTTCAATCATATAATAGGAAATGTTCATTTGATATTATTTGTCTAGGGTAACCATTTCAGCGTTAATAACGCTCTTTTCTGCGGACCCCCGCAGGTGTACATGTATATACACCCCAGCATCGTCAGTTATACCCATTTAAAACGCCCAGGTCGAGAGGGGCAATTTTAATCGAAACAACTTTTCCGATGATGAAATCATTGAGGATAAAAACGGGACCTCTAGTGAGAGTCAAGAGCCTTCAAAAGCGTACTACACAGCTCTCTCTTAATTGTGAAGTCATCAACTTTAATATCATTTCACCCTCATCTTGTTTCTTCTTGATTGTTTTCTCCTTCACCTTCTTTAACTCAGCTTCATCAATACATGTACCTCAAAATTATATTGATCTTTAAGATGTTGGATTGACTTTATATGCGTTCTGTTTATAAACAGCAAGTGTTTGATTTTGGTTACTTTAAATCCAATTATCTGATATCCGCAGACGACTTCATTTTTATATTAGTTTTGCAGATGAGGTGTAGAAAAGTATTCAAAATGAAACTTCCAGTATTCCTACGGCATGTTCAAAACTAAATGCCCTCGTTATAGCTGCAAGTGCTCGATTTGTATAACTTTAGACCCAATAAACTGATCTCCACGATCACGTTCATTCTTGTATTAGTTTTGCCAAAAGATACGGTGTAGAAAAAGTATTAAAGTCGAAATTTGCAGTATCCTAAGGCTTAGTCTAAACAAAATGTCATCTTCATATCTGCAAGCGTTGGATGTAGATCACACTCTAAACCAAAGTATCTGATCTCCACGGTCAGCTACATCAAAACAAAATAAAATCTATATTGCCACAAGATACGGTGTCGGAAAGTATTAAAAACTACGTACGAAACGCTTAAGGATATACCAAACAAAATTACGCTTTTATAGGTCTAAAACAGATACTTGAAAATGAACGAGAAAGTCCAGGTGCCTAAAAGCTCGGGGGGGGGGGGGGGAATTGGCTTTAAGAGTCGTACTAGAGTTTCTCATACAGTGGCCAAGCGATGTACACATTGCATTGTCATGTCCATGGTACCCTCAACCGTTAGAGTCATTTTATTGATGTCCGAGATAAGCTTGAGTGTTGTATCACGTTACGTCCCTATAGAGAAACCCAGGGACCGTGACATCCCCGATTAGCCACCGAGAAAAGAAATTATTGTCGCTGAAAAGGCATCCGATTTCCGGCGTTCTGATGTTGTTTTCTGGTTTGTTTCGAGCTTTCGAAGTAAATTCTAATATCTCCCCGGTATCTTCTTACAGCGACGTGTTGGAGGCGTTTGGTCCGTTTTCGAGAGAGCGTCGAGGAATTCAGGGTACACCTTAAGATATTTAATTTCGATGCGAAGCCGTGGACTATGTAAACAGAGTGCTAGTGTAGGCACGGATATTAGAGATAGAGGTACACACAGACCGCCTTTTTGTTGTTTGGGGAAATGTGTTATTCTTTAAAGCCTCCCTACTACTCTTTTGGAATTGGTTTTGTATAATGTTCCCCAGGGAAATGCAAAGAGAACACTCATAAAGCAAGGGCGTGGATTGTTTGCGAAGCCCATTTTAATCGTGAACTTGATGAAGTAATTAGACCTGAAGGAGGGTGTGAATATTAAAAATTGAGAGTACATGAAGAATTGCAAAACATGAGTTAAGTTAAGATTGAGATAGAATTAGGAAAAGGACTATCATGATGCAAGCGAAGTATTTCAAGGAGCGGAGGGGAGATGTTCGAGGGGTGGGATATTTTGGGAGCAAAATGGTATTAGGCAATTGGGTTCGCGGGGACAATATCCAAACGCATCCTAAGTTGGTGGGTGAGCCACGGCAGCTGCTAATAAAAAAAAAGGAAATCTGATTGTATGCTAATAACAATTCACATTCCAGAATCTCGATAAACATAGCAGGGTACAGTTGAATTACCAATATACAAACAAGTCGAGCATTCCATCATCTCCATCATCAGACCAACACCGCATCCTTTCTCCTCCTGATGCCCATCATCACCATCCAGTGGCGCTAGATGCCGAAGACTTGATGCAGAGCCATCTATATACAGAGTTTGGCAAACGCTGTTCTAGTTGCAAATGAACTCAGTGGTCCGCATACTACTAATTGAGTTAAACCAAACTCTAGGTTTGAAATCGCGTTTAACAAAAAGAAAACCTGGACCTGAGACTAAATGTTTAACTCGATTTTGTTCAAAAGATTAAGCTTAGCATCGGGTTTAAATCTTAGTAGTATAAGGGTCAAATTGC